GGTTCGCCAACAGAAAGGGACACGTTTTCTGGACAGTTTCAACAACTCCCTCTTCTGACCCTTTGCTTTCTCCAGCCACCAAGTCCCCCCCCCCTCCAAACCCTCCCTCTCTCCCTCTCCCTTTGCTCTGTCTTCTGTGGTACGATACAGGGGTCCCATGCGGGTGTGGAATAGTCCCCCTCCTCGGTGCAAGGGGAAAAGGTCCCAGAGACAGAGCTGTTAATTCAATCAGGAGAGTGGTATGCTCAATTAGGCATCCATAAGGGCCCTGGATGGGTCCGGGGGCCCTGCAGAGGGCAGGCAGCCCAGTCCCCACGAGGTATTAATTGTGGATGACAGTGTGTAAACAGTGGGGTGAATAGACAGCGCAGGTGCGGGACACCCCAGTCCAGACTCAATAGCCCTTTTCACACCCTTGGCTCTCTGTTGCCACTTTCTGTTTCATTCTCTCACTACGTAAAAATCCCTCACATCTCTGATTAATGTCATGGATAATTCGGCTTTGTGGGCTTATTTATTTGTTGCTGTGCGTTTCCGTCACTTGGCATGCTCCTACATCAGTGTATGTGTGTTTATGTGCGAGTGTGTGTTTGAAGAGGGTAATAAGAGGCCAGTTGCTGCATGTCCAGAACTGTTGGCCAGCCAAGGGCTATACACGGTCCTCGTTTTCAGGAGCTAGTGAAAATTGCGGCCAGTACATGTAAAATATGTGGAATTTATTAAATGAAATCCAGATGACACTTTAAAAGGAGTGGGCTTTCTATCTGACCTCCAATTTTTCCGTTCAGCACACCACCCAACCCCCCATCCCCTTGTCTGTCTTTCATTCAGTGCTGTAATTGTGTTTGGTTGTGTTTGACAATACTAACTTTTCTAGAGCTATCGTGTAGTCGCTGTGACCGTTCACAGAAGAGATCTGTAGTGGAAGAAGTATCCAGAGCTACAGTAAGTAACAATACCAAAGTGTACAAGTACTTCGTTACAAGTGAAATGTTCAGAAGTATCATCAGCAAATTGTGTTGTCATATAAATTAAATTACTGGATTACTGACACTGATGCTTTAACATATAATAGCATTCTATGTTGAAGCTGGTTACAGTGGACATATACGGTTTGATCAATAATTAATATTTTAAAAACTGATCATATGTTTAGAATTGAATTACTGTCAGACCAATAAAATGGGGTAAAACCTATGATGTTTCATTCTAAGAAGTAACTTATAAGTAACCAAGACCAGATTTTAGTTTTAAATGCATGATTCTTACTTGTAATATTGTAATGATTATAATGAGTATAATGAGTCTTCATTATGATTAACTTAGCTGCATTTTAATGCTTGGGGATGCACCAATTTCACTACAAACTACTGTACAAGTACTTTTAGGAATACCTTTGATGCATATTCTTTTAGTCTGTGGTGGAAGAAATTCTTCTAATGTAGAACTAGCACAGTGGAAAAATGTTCTGTAACAACTAAACCTCCTGCATTCAGACTTTTGCAGAAGTAAAACCAGAGAAGTGTTAAAGTGGCAAAATATAGTAAAAGTAAAAAGTAAATTATGCAACATTGCTCCTTTCAGAACATTAGATTGTTATATTTCATTGAATTATTTATTATTGATTAATGTGCAACATCTTAATATTGTAGCTGGATCCAACTTTATAATGTACATTTTATAAGATAGTTGGTTTTAAACGTACAATAATAATTAATAACTATTATCTGAATATAACTACAACTACAGCTGTTCAATATAGGTTAGTGCAGTAAGATATGTCCGCTCTAAAATGTGGTGGAGTAGAAATATAAAGTAACATAAAAGTACATACAACTAAGAATTGTACTTTAGCATACTTAAGCAATGTACTTTTCCATTATAATTTATGTTAAATTTGTCAAAGACAATTAGTGAAGTTACTAGTAACTACAGATTAGTAAATTGAATGTAGTTATGTTCCCTCTAAAATATATGGTTGAAGTATGAAGTTGTGCAAAATGGAAATACTCAAGTAAAGTACCAAAACCTCAAAGTATAGTACTTTCACCTCTGCAGAACATCTGGTTTCCCCTGATTACAAAGTACATTAGACTTAAAAATGATCAACTAACTAATTGCGCCTCCATTATAACTTATTTTAACCCACAACATTCGGCATACCACATCTGAACTCTGTGTGTGTGTCTAAATTCTACTTTTTGTACATGTGACATCATGGTTGAACATCTGTGCTAAATCTGCCTCCCCCAACCCCCACCAACCCCGGCTGTCAGATCTCTGGGTGGCCTCTGTCCTGCTCCGTCTGTTTCTGTGTCTACAGACACCTGCTAATTTTCGGCCGTATGTAGTTGGTGTAAGCCGGCGGGGGGACAGCGGCTGAGGCGTCTTTGGAAAGGCCGCTGCAGTAATTGGGAAATACATTTCCTTTCAGCATGCCCATTCATTCCTTTTTTGTTTTTGTTGTCAGAGGTTTTCTTTCATGCTCGGCCAAACGACAACAGAATTAAAGTGTCGAGCCATGCTTTCCCTACAACAGCTTTACACCCGAAGAAAAACTGTGAAAGACTGTCTTCTTTGTTAGGGGTGGAGGGTTGAAGCGAGAGGAAAGAGCAGATATAAACTGATCTCGTTAACATTCCAAGAGACACTCCAGTTCCCCCCTCTCTGCTCCTCATCCTCACCTCCCACAAGCATTTTCTCCACTCACACTGGGACATGAGTGGCCGGCTGGCACGGAGCAGAGAAGAGGAGGGAAGATGTTGCCCCCGGGGTGAGAAACAGCACCGGAGAGAAGCGCATCCCACCTCTCACATCTCTGATAATGATACTACATGGATGCTTTGCTGAGTCTCTATGGTGGTCCAATAAACAAGAATCCAGATAATTCACTGTCTCCAGTTCATTTAGGCCTCACTTTTTCTCCCTTTATGTCCCTTTTCCTTCTCTTGCATTTGGCCTGACCCTCTTCACAAATTCTCTCCATCCTTTCTGAGAAAATAGCCTTTTTACTGAAACCGCCTGGTGCACACAGAAATCATTAATGCTGACCCTAATTGTGCCAATTCCAGCAGCTCAATAGCTCTAATTACAAGGCTCTTCACTGAGGCACTCAAAAAGCCGCTGAACTGTCATAGCCAACAATTAAAAAATATCTATAGGGACAAAGACTGAGAGAAGGGGATTTGGGGGGGTGGGGGGTTGCCCATTCCAGCAAAGGGTGACCGGATGGCCCTTTTCAGCTCTTAAAAGCCCGGTTTCTGGGGATTGAGGGGTTGCTGAACTGAAGCTGGACACCTGCACTCAACACTCGGCTTCCCTGGCTCACCCTCTTTGGTCTCTCCACCTTCTTTTTTAACTCGCTCTCAATGGGCCACACAATTTATCTGAAAGGGAAAAAGGATGGAGAAAGAGAGAGCACAGAGAGAAAGAGGACGTGGGAGCCAGAAGTTGAGAGTTTGTGGGATGACAGGACTACAGTGTGGGAGCAGTTTTATGAGTCCAGTTTTTCTGTCAGGCTGGACAAGGCAAGACCAGTGGGGGAGAAATATTCAGAGCCTTTACTTACGTAAAAGTAAGAAAACTGCAATATAGAAATACTTAAAGTTTAATTAATTAAAGTATTATTAGCAAAATGTACTTGAACACAAATCAAAGTAAACATAATACAGAAAAATGGCCCCAAGTCAGAGTTATTCCATTATCAATACAGCCTACTATTGGATTATTACTACTGTGTATTAATTCTTTTTAATTAATAATTAATAATTCATTATTAGTTAATGTGTATTTGTCTGTATGTGTTTTATCTACAAAAGTGCATCATATTTTATAAGATCACCATATGTTTTACATCTAAAATCTTAATCTGTAATATAACAATCAATGCAGCGGAGTAAAGAATATAATATGTCCCACCAAAATGTTGTGGAGTAGAAGTATGAGGTCATTTTTTAATAAATATGTGTCACATTCCACCACTGAATATGATCATAAACTGACTTTGTGTATTTAATTGTGACGACATGATTGCATTCTGTTATTGACATCTGTTTTCCAAAAACTTGATTTCCCTGCAAATTGTTGTTAAAAACCAAATTTGTTATCAAGACGTTTGTTTTACCAAAGTGAAGAGTTTTGTCTGATAGTGTTCATTATACATCAGACTATTGATAATGGTAACAATGTTTTCTTGATAATTCAATATTTGTATAGGATCAAATCAAGCATTCATTTATTGTTATTACTTATTACTGCAAATTTTGTCAAATCAAGAAATCCTGACTCTCGAGACATACTAATGAATTTGTGTTAACACTGCAACCTGTTGATGAACTTTTTAAGTTAACTAAACATTATTTATTTTGAATAAATGTCCTCATGCTGTTATCTTTATGGTGATCAGCTGCTATAAGAAGGTTTACTCTTAAAAATAAGTTAAATAATGAGCAATAATTAGGGATTAAGTGGCGCACACAGCTGTTTTTGCCCAATCAACCACTGAATCCTCATCACTCTAAACACACACACACACACACACACACACACAGCCAAATCTACAAACACAGGCTGACCCCCTGTAGTGCTTGTGACAGCTATTGACTTTTCTCAATAGATGTTTTCCATTGTAACCCAAGTACACAGGCTAAATGTCACGGCAGCAGGATACTAGGCTATTAAAGAGCATTATGTGTCTCTGAATGGGGATGAGAACCTAAAATTTGACTTCACAATTGCTCAGCCATTGTCCCTGTTCTCAAAGCCTGATGATAATACACTGAGTGTCCCTGCAGCTGCTGAGTCTCCTTCTCCTAACTGACCACAGCAGCTCTCTCTCTTCTCTGTGGAGAGTTAATCTTGGCTCGGTTGAAGAAAAAACAACGAAAAAAAAAAGGTAGGCGTGGCTTTTAACAGCATCCCTCGCTGCTCATTGGACAGTCGGACTGTCGGTCAGTGGCGCTTCTCCCTCCTTTGCTCTTAAATGAAGTTGCAATGGATACAGGCGCGACTCAACCTGTGGAAGCCGCGATGAACAGCTGATCCTCCCGCAGTGGATAAAACCAGTCACCATGGTCACCGCCGAGTCCTGATCTCTCATCCCACGCGTGGCACTATGTGAATAGTTATTGGAAAAGTAGACAAAAGGAAAATAACTGAAAAAAAGAAGGGAAAGTAGAGTGAAGGAGTGTTTTTGGAGCGTGTTATTTCTCCCCCCCCTCCGGTTTGGACCTGTTGATCATCAGTGTGACAGACGGACACACAGTCTACCTGCCGCTCCCTGCTCTGCGCTCATCGACCATCAATTATGTTATTGTCAAGTTTTCTTCTTTGCAGCTTCTCTCACTTGTTGGCGCCTCTGTTTCTCTGCTACCTGCCGCAAGTCTCCGCACAGAAGCCTGGTCCACGGGTGAGTGCTTACCTGTGTGTCTGTTGGCTCACACTCTTTATTTTATTTTATTTTATTTTAAAAGGTACAGGATAATTCTTGGGTTCATTGTGGGCACAGTGCACAAAGGACATGGCAAACATGTATAGTGTGCCAAATATAATGCTGGGTGAATATAGCGCGTAATTTACGCGTAAATATTTCAACTACCACCAAAAATATACTTAGTAACTGTGAGAGAACAGTAGAAACACGTGGATATGATTTAAATACCATTGGAAATAAAGTGCTGAGGTGTATTATTGACTTAGATAACTGCGTAAAACGAGGGGTAAGACAACCTTAATCAGTCCTACAGAGATCAATAAAGTCAACAATTGGCGTCAAATTCAAGGACAAACTGAAACTCAAGGACTCAAACAGCATGTTGTGTATGTGAGACATAAATAAACTCGGCCTACATGAAATACTGTCAAATATTATCAAGTAAAGTGGTAAAGTATGTAGCCTAATGAATGATAATTATTATGTACAGTGCAGTTTTATAATGTTTTGAGGCATTGTGTTTTCTTGAATTACTAATCTGTAACAAACTAACTTAAAAAAAGACCTGTCCAGGCCTATATTGTATTTATTTTGCATTAAGCTTCCAGAAAAAGGCATTTTGGCCATTAATGGCTGTAATTTGGAGACTTGTTCTTTAAATTTTTAGCTGAGTCATTAGAAAAAAAGAGACTCTGGTCTCTATTCTGGTGGGTTTTCATGTGTAAACCCACCAGAATACAATTTGTCTTCTTTTTTTGTCTAACTTATGATGCTGCTGTCAGAATGTAAGACATGATAACAGGTTATTTTAGGATATGGAATAGAAATGAAGGTTATTCTGTTCACTGTGAACAGTGACCAGAGTTTAACCTGCATTTCCTTCACCACAGCATCCCTGCTTCATCCCTTCTACTTTTCTAGGACAGATCTGTCACAGTCATGTCTCTCCATCTCTTTTTTTAAACTCCCCTCCCCTCACCCACACACACACACACACACACACACACACACACACACACACACACACACACACACACACACACACAGCTTTATTTGTTCCCCCTCTAGCTGAAGTTTTTTCACAAATACCCATGGCACTGCCCAGGCGGAGAGGGAAGTTAAGTGATGGGGAACAGCATTGTTTAACAGATGCAGTGTAATATTTGTGGTCAGGGGAGGATGACTCAAGGAGGGGGTGGGGTTGGGGGTGAATATGTAATACTCTCTCACATATTGTAACTATTTCACAACATCTTCGAATCCCTCGCTCCTTCCCTACACAAGACACTGTGGTCAATATGGCTCTTTATGGAAAGAGTTACAGTGAATTTCTCTTTTGTGAAATCACTTCTTTGTTATTTACTTTATAATTGTTTTCCCACTGACCAAACATCCAAGTGAAGTGTATGATTTTACTGTCATACAAGTGAGTTTGGTGTTCTTTGTATTTATTTTGTGGCAGGACTCTGGTTAGCCATGTAGGATAACACAACAAGTGCTAGGAAGTAAAAAAGGTGATTTCATTGTACTTTTTTGTGACTGCCAACATATTTCAACTGTCTTGCTGTGGTGACTGACTTTCCAAACTGCTGTTCTTATTTTTTCCTGTTCTTGCTTTAGTTAGATTTTATGCTCCTATGCAGGCTGAGAAACTCTATCACCCTCGGCCTTAGGAAACCCTTTCAAAGCCACACTGGATAAACTCCAACATACGGAGTGATGTCAATTTCAAAACACAGACTGCTCCTTAGTCCTCTTAAAAGTTGACACTATAGAGACAAAAAAGTCAGAGAAGGAATAAAATGCTCAAAACGAGCTCAAGGGTTTTTAAACAATCGTAGCATCTCTCAACTTAATCCATTATAATTAAACTCTCTCTCAGCATCCACTTCATCCGCCTCCTGGCCTGGATTGGGCACAGAGGAGCAACAGTCACTCTTGGCCTTCTGCAAACCCCCACTCACACCACAGTAGATACTTTTAACATTGCTCACAGCTGCCGTAATACCAGAATTCACACCCCCACTTTCCACATTGATATCAGGGTGAAAGCCTGAGCTAACTTCACTGCATAGCACTGCTCCCTTCTCATTTCCCCCGAGGCTCTATGATGCAATGTGTGCATAAGTCCAACACTGCTCACAACTGGGGAATACAAGTAATTGGGACACTAACAAAGCTTTAGACAATTTAAACTTTTTTGCCTTGTGATTTATTCGTGCAGTTCAGATAAGTCTTTTACCCACTCCCTCCTCATTCCTGAGTCTAACTTTGATGTCTCCTTTATTGTTAATCCATTTGTTCATCGGCTAGAGGGAGGGCAGCACCACTACGATGATAAGGATGGTGGTCACACATTTTCCTATGATGGTGCAATACAGTCTCTGCATAAGCTATCAAGGCAAAGTCACTGCCTGGCAATAATGATGGGGGAAGGACCAATGAAATGCGAAAGCCACTTTCATGATCTCACTGACAAACTTTTTTACACAACTTTATGTGAAATTATGCTTTTTTTTTTTACGTTGTTAGAGGATTACAGTTCACATCTAATTGCAGGTCTGCAACAAGATATTTTGCAGGTTTTCTGGTCCTTAGTACCAGGAATGATCAGTCTAATGAGGCAGGTGGTAGGCAGGCACTAAGAAACTAAGAAATCTGTTTCCCAGAAGGGATGTATTCTGAAATCAGGGCTAACAAATGAGGATGCCATCCACTCTTACCCATCTAACCGTAATCCCCTTCATCAAATCAACCTGTTAGTGCCAGGGATGAGCAGTCGACCTGCATACTTTGGTGACAGCATCAGTGAAGACTCATAAACTTACTGAAAAAACAAACATATAAACAGCCAGGCCTGAGTGGCGAGGCAGCCAAGACTGCATACCTTCAGCTTGGGAAAGTAGAAATTTGGTTCAAAAGCAGGAAAGCCTTTTTATTGGTGTGAGGTAGATCACAGCCACAGCACAGGTGTGAGTGGTCTGCATGTGTTGATGCATGCAACGTATGGGTGCAGGTGCCTGTGTGTGATTGTCGTATGGTCAGCTAATGACTCTTAATTATGCTTACAGTGCACAAAGGAATGGAGGTCAGGAACTGGACTTCTTTTGTTTAAGTGGATAAGAAAACTCTGTAAACAGCAGACATCAAAGGGAATTTTGATATTTAAAAGGCCCAGTGTGTAACATTTAGGATAATCTATAGGCAGAAATGGAATATAATATTCATAGGTATGTTTTTATTAGTGTAGAATCACCTGAATATAAACCATGTTGAATCGCTGTGTTTCTACAGTAGCCCAGATTGGAGAATCCAAACACTGGCTCCGAAGGGAATTTGGGTAAATGAAAGAAATCGGGGACTGAAGATGAAGCAGATGATGCTGATTTAGAGAAAGTAAATAGCAAAACAATAGATGCGTGCATGTGTTAAACCTTAGCAGATTAAGGGTACAATGAAAAAGTATCCAAAGTTGTGGTTATTCTTTGTAAGTATTTGGCTACTGGACACATAATAATAATAATGATAATAATAATAACAACAAACTGATGATTTACATCTGACTGTACATCTTACAAACCTGTCAACTCAGCACTGTTGTTGTCATTCTGCAGCCTAGAGACTGGGCAGCAGCAAAATAAAACAATGATGAAGAAACACAACAAATGGACGGGACTTTTTTAAAGAATCCTAATCATTCCTGCAATGTGCTGGGAATGTGTTTGACCGTACTTGGGACAGCTGTTCAAATGAGAGCCCTCCAGAACAGTTTTGATAGAGTAAGGACAGTAAAGTGAGACTATTCTGAGCTACATACACAATAGTTAACGTGAAGAGGTCCACAACAAACAAATCATGTTGCCTTAATAAAAATACTATCTTACAGATCACCATATGAGGGAAAAGAGCAAATTCAAAGCAAATTAAAAAAGGGAGGTTCTCCTGATTTTATCATGACAACATAGCATGTAAAGTTCTCCTTAATCAGTGCCTTTCCAAATCTACTTACTGTAAATAAAAGCAGAATTACTTATTCAGTATGCATGCAGATACAGTCATATGTATGATACATACTCCATATGCAGGATTTAGTGGCATCTAGTGGTAAAATTGCAGATTGCAATGCATTGAATTATGCACACCAAACACGAAGGAGAAACTGTGATCGTCTCACAAACTTGCAATAAACGTGAAAGCCTGTCTAGAGCCAATGTTTGGTTTGTCTATTCTGGGCTACTGTAGAAACCTGGCAGAGGATAAATGTAGATAAAAACGTCTCATTCTAAGATAACGAAAACACAACGATTCTTATTGTCAGGTGATTTGAATATTGTATTCCATTTCTGCCAATAGATTCTCTTTAATGTTACACACTGGACCTTTAAAGGAATAAGAGTTTTGAGTTGGACCATGTATATATGCAATTAAGTGCGGTTAGGGTTACTATACCTATTCTTAGGATAGCCGTTACCTGTATTACATATATTTTGTAGACACTGACAGAAACAGTAGGAGGACAGAGTGAGAAGTTTGGCCCTTAACCATCAAACCACTGAGATGCATAGAACAAGAACTGTAGACCATAATCACGCAGATGTGCAGTGCACATTTCTCCATTTAGTCTTTATGGGGAAAAACATTCTTGGCAAAGTGATAAGGTCATAGTTTGGCATCACCGTCGTCTGTGAAGAGACGTCATGAAATACAAACCTTTCAGATTAACTTTGTTCTGACTTTTTGTTCAGCATCAGTTTTTCATTAGGCACTTAAAGGAAAATCCCTACAAATAGTTATTGGTGACAAAGCTTGTGGTTCTCGGTTCTTTAGTTGTACGGTGGTGTGAGTTTGAATACTGATACAACCATATACATATGCATAATTTGCTGTTCTTAGAACATTGAAAGATGATACACAAACTCAAAAGGATTCCTCCTCTGGAGATTATGAATGTGATCCACAACCAGCTTAATGTATTG